AACCCTGAAGTGAGCAGACACTTTGCTCATAGCAAAGATGGGCAGAGGTAAACAAGGGTTTCATCAGGCTCATTATCGACCCTACTCAGTCTGTTGCCATCTCCCAGCCCAGAAATGGGATTGTCTGAAGCATAATCCTTGCCTGAATAGGTGCTGATTAACAGCAAGGGGAGGCAACTCCAGCAGCTGATCATTACAGCCATCCTCAGTGTAATGAGTGTTGGATAGAAAGTGGGAAAAAAGCTCCAGGAATTATTTCTGCTAGTGTCTGTGGACTTTGTACCACAGCAAGGCATAAGGAGCCTGATTCTGGGTAAGATGATTTCTGAAGGTACCATGCAGTAAGGGTAAAAGTGTTCCATAATTTGTCAGCAGGTAACTTGCAACACTTAAAAGTCATCTAGTGGCAACATGAGCGAGTGCTGAGGTACAAAGGTTAACTCTGTCCTTGGAAGAACTCAGAACCAGGACACCACATAGAGCTTTTGCAGAATGAAGGGAGCTGTCAAATACCTTCTAAAGCTGAAGAGTAGATGGATGTGGATTTAAATTTAGCTCATTAATCAAAAACCAAAAGTAGCACTGATAATGTTGGTGCTGTGCTAGATGTGGTCTGAGCTGTTCTGGTTGAAGTGGTGTTGAAATAACCACCAGTTCCTGTACAACCTGGTACAGTTTGTCTGTACCACACTCTGATCCCCTCCACTCCTCCCATCCAGCCACCCTAGCTGTCTCCTCCCACTTCCTAGTTCACTGGGACTTTCCTCTGTGAAGGAATTCTGCTCCTGCCTCAGCCTCATCCATAAGCCCATACTCCCACAGCCTGGGGCTGGAGGCTGTGGAAGGGACAGCATATGCTCCAGTACTGCTCCTCTCCATCACTTTCCTGTCGCTGCAGAGCAGACAGCCCTGTGCACATTTGGGTTTATGAATGTCTGTATCCTTGTTGGAAAACAGCAGGACAGTGCTCATGAGCATGAGTGTGTGTGTAGAGCCAACTGTGCTCCTCAGTGTTGGCAGGCTCTGGGCAAGCTGTGGTAGCTGCACCAGTTACACATCTCAGCACCATTTCAGAGAGAGGGAAGAACAAAATTAGATAAGCACTAAATACACAGCCAGCTTGGAGCTGTGCAAAAGGAAACTAGCAAAGGTCCCATCAGCAGTGTTTGTGTCATTTCAGGGTGTAACAGAGCTTCACTATTCTTCCCCTCTCCCCTGACTCCCTAAGAATGTGTGTCTTGGTCATTTTGAGGAAGATGTAGGTCTCTGGCCATGGAAAAATCCTGAGGATGGGAATGTGAACAGCCTAAGAGGCAAACCCCCCGAGAACTCAGCATTTGTCTCATTTGGAGGATTGCTGAGTGCTGGGAGCTGCATTGCTTTACTGCTAATCGTAGGTCAGTTGCAATAAAACAAAGATGCAACTGTGTCCCACCAAACCCTCCATGTGGTGAATCTCATGGCTTGATCTTTACCACTGTGGAGCACTAATCCACTTGGGAGAGTCCCAGCATTGGACATGGTGGCTGCTTTTGTGGCTCTTAATCCAATCCCTCTGGATATGTGATACCAGCACTGAAGATACTGTCAGAGCATCATAATCTCTCACTTGATTGAAACTGTGTTGCTCTGCTTGAGTCTCCTTTTCTTACACAAGTGCATCTCTGTTGACTTCCATGCAGTCCAGATGTGGGGACTGATGGAAATTCAACCTGGTGCCACAGTGGTTTCAGACTATTTATGGAAGGATGCAGGCAGGATCATGGAATATCCTGAATTGCAAGGGACCCACTAGGATCATCAAGTCCAACTCCTGGCCCTGCATAGGACAACCCCAAGAATCACAGCATGTGCCTGATGTTTTTATATTCAGAACTAGGGCATGAACCTTTTCAGCCAGTGATTTATTCCTGCCAGAGAGAGGAGGATTTGTGAAAGAGATTGAGGGCATGGAAGGAGTTAAAAATATTTAGTTCCCTTTGGACTGTGAGTGATCTGAGCTTTGGTAGAAGGCAAAGAGAGTGGTGAGACAAGGAGGGAAAGTGGCCAGTTTTAGAAGCAAAAGTACTCAGCTAAATGGTTTCCTTTTGATATATTAATACCTCCTTCAAAGGCTTATTTGAGGAAAAACAGACTTAAGAAAATGAGCTGGGATTTAAATGGGCTTGATTGTCTTCAGAGAGATTTAAATAATTCCTAAACGAGTCTTTCTAGTTGAACTCTGGGAGGTCACTAATCTCAGCACATCCCTCTGAGCACAGGTCAGGCTGAGGACATGAAGACAAGTGGGAGACTGAACAGACAAGCACGAGGGAGGAAAGAGCTGAGAGGAGTGTCAGGGTAGGCCTGGCCACGTCTGAAAGGCACACAGAGGGGCATGAAGTGGCTTTAGAGAGTGTCATATGCTTGACTCTGAAAGAGTGGGACCTTCAGCCTGGCTGAGCAGTGACAAGGGAAGGAGAAAAACTTCACATGAATCTTCAATTTATCAGACATAGAGGAGAGAGGCTGATGCTTTCATTTCTGACCACCTCTGCAGAGTTAAGAGCCCCAAAACCCTAAGCTAGCATGGGTGAGAGGAGGGAGCACGAGCAAAGGCAGGAGAGCTGAGATGTCTACCTCTGGTTAATGATGACGGAGAGTTATGGTTTCCTATTTCACAGTTTTCTTTTATAACCATGATTTTAATTTGCAATTGGAAGCAGCACCTTTATTTCTGGTGAAGTAAATTTGTCCTGTTTTCACTCTGAGCCTTATCTAGGGACAGTGATGGCAGGAGAATCTGACAAGCCCTAGGGATATTGCAGAGCAGTAATTTATTGCTCTGTGTTACAAAGCAATAAATCCACATACAGTAGTGAATAAGCAGAGTCCAAGTCACCCCATCCAGACTATGCTTGTGAATCCAAGAAGCATGGGGGTGTTTTTCCCAAGAAGCAAAGGTCAGTTGAAGATGGATAGCAAGTGCTTGTGGTTGAGAGCAGGAGGGTAGGGGCAGGTGGCTGGCAGCAAGTGATGAGAGGCATCTTGTGACGCTGCTCAATGGTCCAGTTCAAGGCATTGGGCTAAAACTGGGAGTATAAGGTGATATTTTTGGCAAATAATTTATTCAACAAAAATACAGCATTAAAGCAAGCAGAACTCTTTATGGATTTAGGATGAATGTGATAAAACTGAGTCAGCAAAATCTAGTACCTAATGAAAGGGAATTTCCACACTGAGTGTCCTGCATGTCCCGTGTCTGATTTTCCAGGTCCCATGGATGTCTCGTGGTGCGGTGCATCTCCAGTGGCAGAAAACATCTGTGTTTAGGAATCTGAGCCAAATCCTTAAACTTTTTGCATTTAAGAGCATAACCTGCTATGTTCTCCACAGGCTCAGGCCAGTGAGTTGCCCACATTTGAGGCACTGGTTTCCACTCCCTTTGCCTCCCTCCTTCCTGACCAGCACCCAGCATACCCTGTCCTGCCACAGCATCCTGCCCGGCCCTGCAGAACTTGAGCAATCCAAATAATAAAGTGCAGGGTTCACTGCCAGTGCTCTGCCTGGCTCCCAGCAGGGAGGTGGTGACTCGCTTGACTTTGATCATGCTGTAGTGATCATGAATATTTACAGTCATCTCTGTGCTGCTCACTACAGACAAAAAGCTTTGGAAATGCCAGGAAACCCCGAGTGTCCCCTCTGCCACCTTGGCTTCTTAGGGTAATCCCTTCTCCTCTCTGGTGCAGATCGAGTTGTTAGCATGCAAGGCAGTGCCAGCACAGGCTGTGCCTGGAGCAGAGTGACACTGGGGTGTGCAAGAGTGGCTGTAACCAGCACAGGTTCAGTAATTAGTCTCTTCAGCACAAGCTGCACTAAAGGGACATTCAGGGACAGATTTATCAGTGAGAAGAGGGGAAAGTGGCTGGGAAAAGGGGAGCACAGTCCTTTTGCCAGCATTATTTGGTGTGGTACACACTCAGGATCATGTTCTGTACTGCCTACCAGTGGGAGGAAGTGTCACCATTGCAGTGCACACACCTTGTCCCTGCAGCATCTTCGAGGCAAGAGGACTCATTTACAGCCCTGTACCCGTGGAGAAGTGCATTTATTCATAGAAAGCACCATTCATCCCCCAAAACTGCTCTGGCATCAGTCAGAGTGTGCCCTTGTGTTTCCCTCTAGGTGACACAATTGAAATGCAAACCATGAGGTAAAATGTGGACAGGTTGGATAGCAGCAGTGCATGGGGCAACAGGAGCCAGGAAAAGGTGTAGAAAATCAGGCTCTGTGCAGCCCTAGATGGGAAGCAAAGGTGCCATCATGACAGGGCAAACACAGAGGAGAGGAACAGCAGGCCACAGGTACTGCAGCTTCAACCTGTGCGTGTCCTTCAGTTTGTCTGTGACTGCACACCCAAGGCAGGACTGTGTTCTGCTGCTTCATGTGCCCCTTGGTACAGTGAGTCCTGTGTCTGGTGAGACTCCGAGGTGCTGCACATCTCTGACTGGTCCAGAGCCCAACTGCCAGGTCACAGACCCTGGCCACTGCTCTGCTGTGTGCTGTGGAAAAACCTTTTGTGGGGGCACATTGGACTTTCCTTGCTCTCATCCTCCACAAGGTTTGGACAGTCTTTGTTTAGCACTATTTCCTGTGAGGAGATTCCCAGCTGAGCACTCCTTACTCAGCAGCACTCCCAGCTTTTCTTTGTGTGGAGGGGAGAACAGGCACCTGGGCTGCTCAGCACCCAGGGAATGAGGAGGTGTCTCCATAGTGTAACTGGCTGAGGCTAAGTTGAAAGGTTAAATCATGGGGCAGTCATTTGGGGAAGGTAACAAAGATGTTTGTAAACTCCCTGTGGCATCAGACAGTTGCTCTCTCCTACACCAGATTTGCCTGCCTGGGCCTGGCTGGGTGTGAAGGAAGCAGGTGTGGGTATGGTCCAGCACATGCTGTCCATGAGCAGGCACCATTTGTTGCATGTCCTGGTAATTCCTGTTCTTCCTCTCTCCCCTGCCCAGTACAAACAAGTGGAGCAGTACATGTCCTTCCACAAGCTCCCGGCAGACATGCGGCAGCGCATCCACGATTACTATGAGCACCGCTACCAGGGGAAGATGTTTGATGAGGAGAGCATCCTGGGAGAGCTGAGCGAGCCCCTCCGAGAGGTAAGGAGGGCAGGGGGTGAGTACTGCACTTTCCTGTCACCTTCAGCAGCTGTGAAGCTCCTGGGGCAGTAAACTCCCACCTCATGTGTTTACCTAGGCCTCTATGCAGTGTGCTGGCCTCATCTGTGCCCCATCCATCAGCTGTAACAGCAGGTAGAGTCAAAGGAAGGAGGAGCCTTCTAGCAAGGCCCATCCTTCAAAGGAGTGTTTGCAGAAATCCCCTTCCCTAGCTGAAGTCTGGCAATGCAGGTTCTCCCTGGTATGTCACCAATATGTCACCCACTGGCTCTAGAAGCAGTCTTCCTCCTCCCACTAATGTACCTCCATGGGAGAGAAAAGAGCTGAGGAAATACCAGCCGTGTTTTGAAACTCGTTTTGCCAAAGTCTCAAAGGGCAACCCTCTAAAAAACTCAGTAAGGAGGAGACAGATGCTTCCCCAGATCTTTCTTCCTGCTCCAGTCATCCATATGCTCCTTCCCTACGTGGCTGGGGAGTTTTGTGCTGAGGTGATTTACTCAGTATCACTTTCTGCTGCTCTCTGAGTCTGAGCTGACACGGCACAGAGCAGCTCCTGTGCTGTCATACCCTCCAAGTGACACCAAGCCACAGGAGAGGCACAGCCCCTGTCTGCTGTGTGACAGCTGAACAGCTGAGCTGTGTTTCCTTCAGCCAAGGCTGATGGTGCAGCCCATGCCCCGGTGACTGGTGAGCAGCTCTCCCTCCCCTCTCCTGACACTGTCCCCATCTGCCCACAATGGTTCTTTCTTCAAGCACCTCGGCACATTTGTGCTGTTTAATATCTCATTGACAAGCAAGGGCAGCAGAGAGCGTGGGGCTGCCAAGGTGAGTTATGACATTTTACCAGAGAGGAGCCCTGGGCTTTTTCATGCAGCATTTCACTAGTGTGGTGCACCTCTCTCATAGCCCAAGGTTTCCTGAAGAAAGAGGAATACTGTCTGTATTTGGGAGGCTGGGATTGTTGTTCCTGCTCAGAGAGAAAGCATAGGAATGAAAGCAGTGAAGCATAGTGTCAAGCTGTCAGCTCCAGCTCACACTGCTCTGTGCTCTGAGCATCCAGAGCCCATTCCAGCCTGCGCCAGGGGAGCCAGAACAAGGGAACAGCATTTTTATCTCACTTTGTAATGCTCAGGTCAAGTGGGAGATCTTCACAGGTCATTATATATCAACTAAACACATGTGTCTTCTCTGCTCCCTGTCCCCTGTTTTCTTCCCCCTCCATCTCTCTCTCTCTCTTGCATCACATCATGGTCAGGAAATCATAAACTTCAACTGCCGGAAGCTGGTTGCCTCCATGCCCCTCTTTGCCAACGCAGATCCCAACTTTGTGACCTCCATGTTGACCAAGCTGCGCTTCGAGGTGTTTCAGCCAGGGGATTACATCATCCGAGAGGGCACCATTGGCAAGAAGATGTACTTCATCCAGCACGGGGTGGTCAGTGTCCTCACCAAGGGCAACAAGGAGACCAAGCTGGCTGATGGCTCCTACTTTGGAGGTGAGTGTCAGTCAGTCACCCTCACACAGTGACACCCACTGCTATTGCTCATGCATTCCTTCATTGTCCTGGACACACAGGGATGGCAACAAGTGGAAATGATACCCCAGGAGCCTTCACCACCATCTCTGTTCATCTCACCTGTCTTGAAATTTCCCCTAGAGTAAATGGTGCAGTGGGAGATGACTAGGACACCTGGGCACTTCAGGAGTCTAGGTAAATACTAACAAAACAGAGCAGGGAAGCTTTGTTCCTGCAGGTTCCTTTCTTTTTGCCCCAGGCATGCTGACAGATCAGTGAGGCTGCGAACCTAAAGGTAAAATCTTCTCAAATCTCCAAGCACATTTATAGCATTGCCTAGTCCTGGTGCCTGGCATCTACCACACGAAGTGCAGGAGAAAATGAAGGGAAAACACCTCAGAGGGCTGTGCTGCCCTTCAGAGGGACCTCAACAGGCTGGAGAGATGGGCAGAGAAGAACCACCTGAAATTCAACAAGGGCAAGTGCAGGTCCTGCACCTGGGGAGAAATAAGCCCAAGCACCAGCCCTCATGAGGCCACACCTGGGATACTGTGTCCAGTTCTGGGCTCCTCAGTACCAGAGGAACATGGAGCTCCTGGAGTGGGTCCAGCATGGGGCAACAAAGATGATTAAGGGACTGGAGCACCTCACTGATGAGGAAAGGCTGAGGGAGTTGGGAGTGTTCAGTCTCAAGACTGTTCAGTCAGCAAGTTGAGGCTGTTTGCTGGGATTTGGAGTTAAAGCGTTGGAGTCAGGATACCCTGACTGACAGATTGGATTGAAATTGCCTGTGACATTCCATGTGTTTTAGATAGCATACACACAACTCCTCATACTCATGGCATGGTGCCCTAAACATCAGTTCCTTAGGAAAGCAGCCTAATAACACACTTACAACCTTGTAGTGCTGCTGTACCAGTGCTTTGGGGTGGATTGACACCCAAAATAAAGTGCTGTCACTCTTTAGGTCACACCATCTGTCTTGAAGTGCCTGTCTTAGCTGCCTACACTCTGTGTAAGCAGTGGAAAAGTAGGATTTGGGAGCTCTCTGCCGAGTGTTCAAGGAGCTATGGTTGAGTCAAGGGCTTTCTATTCTGTAGCCATCTAGGAGTAGATGACACAGTGTAAACACACTGAGTGTTGATAGGTGCCATTACCATGGCTCTCCCTGACAATCTGTAAGCTAGTGGCAGATCTACAAAAATCTTTGCAAACTGTAAAGAGACAAATGTTCTGGGTGTGGGGATAAAAGTTACTCCCAGGCACCAAAGGCACAGATCAGCACAGAGCCTTTACTACAAATCTAGAGAGAATTAGCTTCGATGAGAGCATGACTTGACCTTCTGCTCCCAGTGCCCATGAGGAGCTGAAGAAAGACAGCTCCTCCAGTCTGAATGCACAAGTGATATCTTTGATAATCCACCATAGCAAAACTTGTCTGGCTAATTAGATCAGCAGAATCCCTGAGGTGCAGTTGTGTGTAGCAGCTGCCACAACTGAGCCCCTGATATTTTTGAATGTTAGTGCACATGCAGAGTAGTGACACTGGTCATGTTTTTGGTGGGAGAGCAGGTAGAATCTGGCTGGAGAGGGGCCCTGGTGGCAGGCAGGCAGGCCTGGCTGTGAGTGACAGTGCAGGCCCTGGGCTGCCTGTCCCTGTGTTCTCAGCCTGGACCTTTGGTTGCAGAGATCTGCCTGCTGACGCGCGGCCGGCGCACGGCCAGCGTGAGAGCCGACACCTACTGCCGCCTCTACTCCCTCTCCGTGGACAACTTCAACGAGGTGCTGGAAGAATACCCCATGATGCGCAGAGCCTTTGAAACAGTGGCCCTCGACAGGCTGGACAGAATTGGTAAGTGCAAGGTGTGAGAGTCTCCTTCTTTCCCTGCTGCCTTGGTACTCCATCACCAGGCTTGGCCCATAGTTCCTTTGCTGGAGTTGTGAAGATCTCAGCCTGTCTCCCTTTGCCTGACTTCAGCTCCCTCAAGGTACTCCATAATCCAAACCTGCTGAGAGTTTAGATTAGATATTAGGAAGAAATTGTTCCCTGTGAAGGTGCTGAGGCACTGGGACAGGTTGCCCAGAGAAGCTGTAGCTGCTTCATCCCTGGAAGTGTTTCAGGCCAGGCTGGATGGGGCTTGGAGCAACCTGATCTAGTGAAAGGTGTCCCTGCCTGTGTCAGGGGATGGAATGAGATGAGCTTTAAGGTCCCTACCCACCCAAGGAATTCTATGATTCTATGATTGTTACAGCTCATAGTGACCCATCCCAGGATGCTCTCTGTCCTGTGGGAGACAACCTGTGTTGCAAACATCCTTGTCTAACTAGAGAAGACTAGGATAACATTCCTTGGTCACAACCAGAGGTGTTTAACAGAGAGAAAGTAAGTGACTTATGCAAGGTCATGCAAGAAGTCTGCAGCACTAAGGACCAAGCATTTTGGTGTCCCAGTCTAACTTCTTTAGCTTATTATACATCTATTAAAAGCACTTGCATTTCCATTGCCTTGAGAATGGAAAAGGTCAGTGGAGGTCTGAACACAATGCAAGAGGTGAGGAGGATAATGGGGTGAAGAGGGTAGGGAATAAACTGGCATCCCAGCAAGGGGTGCAGTGCCTCTGGGGCTTCTTATGCCAGGAACATTGTATTCTGTGCATCTCATTACCTGCTGCAAATCAGAAAGTGTGACCCCTGAGGAAAACGTTCTGAGCGAAAGATGTAGTTTGGCAAAGCCCACGCTAATGAGGCCCTGGTGTAAGTGGCAACAGGCCCATCACTTGGGCTATTTAAATTACACTGTACTGCAGAGAAACTAGGATGTCAGGTGCCTCCAAGGATGGGCCAGCTCGACTTGATCTCACATTCTGCGGCTTTCGGTGGTCAGTGCTGCTCAGCTTCGCAGCCTGATTCTCCCTGGGACTGGGTATACAGGTAGGCAGGGTGTCCTGTGCTCCTTGCCTTTTGCTCTGTGCCCACTGCATAAGTAACTGAAATTCATGATAAGTTCCAAACCAGCATGAAGAGCCTCACATGCTTCTTCCCTAGGGAGAAATTTCCTTCCACAGACAGCTGCAAAATGTCAATATAAGGTCAGAAGGTGACACAGAGCAACTGGAATAACAGGCCCTTTGGTGCAGAGCCCTGACATTGCTTGCCCCCCCCTTCCTAATGCCATTCTGCTGACCTGAGACAACATCTGCCCCTCTGCCACTGAAAATCCTAGTGCTGCTCTTGTTTCCCTGGTAATCAGGCTCAAGAGCTGCCTGTTCTCTCAACTTTGCATCTCAGCTATTCAAAGTAGCATCTCCATAGCCCTTTCCACCCCCGTGGTGCCCAACACTCCTTGGCTGGCATTGCCCCACAGAGCCTAAGGGAGTGCTGTGTGCCCTAGTGAAACTGGCAGATCCCATGGAAATCCCTGTCTTTATGAATAAGGCATTTCTTCGCCTTCCTCTAGAGCATGCACCATCCAGAAAGAGCAGTGCAGTGGCTGTGTAGCAGCATGTGACTTTTGAAGGAGTTCAAGGTTACTGCATTCTGCTGAGACTCTCTCTGAAACAACAGGAATTATTCTAGAGGACTAGATTATTAAGGAACAGAAGTTCCTGAAACCCAGGTATGTACAGAAGCAGGACCATATTTTTGGTTCCTGTCATGTTCAGCTCAGGATCTGTACACAAGATGGAAGCAAATGGAAGCCTCTTTCCAAGTCAGTGGTGGATTCACTAACTCCCTTCTACCCAGATGACATGTCCTTGGGAAGCCCAAGACTCACCGAGTACAGGAAATGATTCAGAGGTCTCTGTCACTATTCTGGTACCAGGACAGGATCAATATGATATTCCCCCTGTGCAGTGAGGAACCAAGAGAGCAGGGAGACAAATCTCACTCCATCCCGTGTCAGTGACTGGAGAGATGTTTACAGGATTACCTGCTAGTGGAGGGTTTGGAAAGCATGCTCTAAGCTTGTCTAGGTAGCAGGATGAGCAGGTAAGATGTCCCTTGCAGCAACAGGAGCAGGACTGGTTGACTGGAGGTGGATGAGGCACTCCCTTTGCAGGGCAAGTGCAGTTTGCCAGCCTGTGGCTGGGTCGAAGGGCAGGAGAGGGGTGGTGCCCCCCAGGCTCTGCTCCCATGGCTTCTGTTGGAACATGGGCTGTGCAGTGCATGAGAACACAACCCCAGGGAGCTGTCAGCCACATCAATCCCTTGCAGAGCGTGTTGCTGTATCCTCCAGCCTCTGCTGTTAATGGGAATCAGTGTTGGCATCCTGCCTGTGCCATGCTTGCGTGGGGAAGAAGCTTCCTAGGTGTTTTGTACTTGCAGAGCCCTTTAAAGACTGGAAGGGATTAGTCTCCATGAATTCAGTAAGGCTGGGATTCAGCAAAGATTTGTGGCCCTGCTGAAGTCTGAGTAACTTCAGACCCTAAAAACTCCTCAAGCTGCAGAGTATCACACACTTAGCACAGCACAGGCTCAGGGCCAGGAGATTGGCACTCAAAGAAATTAGGCTGATCACTGATTAATGATAATTTTATCACTGATTAGATCACCCTCTCTTTCTTGTCCCTGCCCAAGCTGTAAAATTCTTTGTAGTATTTGTGTGCTGAAATGATTCTGTGATTTCTCCAGTGAGTAATTCTTCCTCTGACAAGCGTTTGTGACCCGTCCCAGTTTGTGATGTATCTGTTACGTAAGTTACATCACTCTGTTCCTGCCTGGCTCTGAAACTGGCTTTCAGTGACCACTGAAGCTTAAAATTAGATTTTCACAAGTATTTGCACTTGTAAAACACAACCACTTAAATGTTCATTGAACGTAAACCCAACACAGGCCGTGGATATTGTCAGATCAGAAGCCACTGATGTGTTCAGAAAATATCGGCAACGATTCTTTTCCACTGTTCGATGTGCCATAATAAACACTGTAAATGTCTGTCATTAGGTCCTTACCAATCCCCCAAAGGTCACTAGTGAGAGCTGAAAGCATCCTTAAAGCCAGAGGAAGTTATTTTTCCATTTTCATCAGGACTTTTTGGCCACGTGGTTTGAAACACATATATTTTGAATGCCACTTGCATATGTTTTGATACAAGGATCCCAGTTTACTCAGGATTAAAGATGCCTTGTGTTTCCTCCAGGCATTGCAGATGCTAAAAAAAACCCAGAGAAAAGCCAAGACAATGCCATTCCAGTCCATAAATATAATTTATGATATTATTGCAGTATGAGAGTGTCTGTTCAAGATACTACAGTGGTAGAAATTTTAAAAGCTTTGTCATATAAACAAGCCACAAAAATAGCTGTTCCCAAACATTTTGACTGCCAGCTCATGATCACACTTCTGCAATTGAAATTCTGTTGGATTTGCAGCCCCTCCTGTCTAGTCCTGACTAATCCTCTGGGATCTGTGGCCCCAGAGGCAGGGCTGGCCTGTGTGAGGCTGGGTGAGCTTGGGCTGAGAGGAGCTGCGAGCAGTGCCAAACATGCCCTGTTTGTCCTTGTCCTGCCTTTGCTCCTGCCTCAGTTCCTCATGGCTTCTACAGAGAAAATAATGCTAACAAAGATGGAGCTTGGAGTGTTTCATAGCTGCTCCCTTGAGGCAGGTACTGGGCGAGATCATGTGAATAAGTGAAACGGACTGAAATGTGTATAAATAAAACAATATGTGCTCAGCATCAGTTTTACACTCTATCCACACTCAAGTCCCAGATTTGTTTACTGTACACAGGTGAATAACCCCCCAAAAGCTGCACATGTGAGAGGAGCAGATGATTTGGTTTTAAGAAGATTGAGATGGATATATAGACATACATATACTTCTTATTTGAGGCTGCTGATACAGGTACAGGTTCTCCTGTGTTGTGTCCTCTCATCATCTGAATAACCCAGGAACATAATTGTTTATGAGGAATCAGAGTTCAAACACCACTATGTGTATTCCTCTGACATAAAATTCTCCCCCATAATTTCCAGTGCTGCAACGTGGAGATCTGAATATAGTCAGCAGAGAGAAAAAGGCATTTAGAGTGAGATTTGCCTCTCCTAAGGTGGCTATGTAAGATGTCTAAGGTGAATAACCCCCTGGAAATGCTGTCTAGCATAGGGTAGGACCTTGGACTTAAGCAGGAACTCAATATTTGAATTTTTTTAATTTGGAAGGAAGGGCCCAGACTCAGAGTATTTTCTATGTAGCCTAAGGAAAGGTATCAGTAACTCAGCAGCCGTGAGGGAATGTAAATTACTTCAGCTTAATTAAGGTGAACTGGCAACCCTGCTCACCTGAATATGAAGTGCCATTTCTCTAGAAGGAAAATAAAGCCTAAGACACCCCAACAGAAGGGACAGTGGGGGATGGTGATGAGATCTCATGAGACCTGTCTTTGACTTTATAAGTGACCTTGGTCTTTGCTATCCACAAAGCTCTTTGCTATCTGCATCAAAATAAAACACCTGCTCAGATAACATTTTACCATTCCAACACCTTTACAAGTAATTTTCAACCCTCTTTTTAATTACATAAAATCAGACCTCCTTACCAATGACACCTCTGGTCTCAGGAGACTTTTCCTGCCTTGAAGGCATTCCAGGAGCTATCTGCAACCAGCCCACACTGCAAAGCACCCAACTGACACAAAACCAGTGCCAAGGTGTCCAGAGTCTTCCAGAATGTGTCCCTGTCACAGCTGTCAGCTCCAGCAGGGCACTGAGGATTGAGTGTAGGAGCTTTGGCACTTGTGCCACTTGAGGAGAAGGCAGCTCCTTGGCTTCAGTCTCCAGTGATAAGTAACAGCCAGGACACTGTGCTCGAGGCTGCAGTCACTCCATATGACACAGCTCCTACAGTCCTTCA